ATCTTTCCACTTCAGTCATACAGTTTAAATATGTATTTTCTGATTATGAACACATTACCTTTTGCGATTTCTTTTAGGAGGAAGAATGCTCTACGAGGGAACTGAGGGATATTTTGCCTGTTGATTACAATAAAAATTTGAATGAAACTAACCTTTCTGAATCAGATCATGAAGAGAAAGTAATTAGTACCGGTCTAAATTATGGATATGGATTAATATTAAAAGGCCTTTATGTAAATTTCGGCAGGAGTCACATAAAAAAAAACAAAGTGAATCTAATGTTGAAAGTGATGTAAGTTGATATCAAATGGATTATTTAATATGCAATATATTATATGACCAAAGCAATACGTTTGTTATTAGTATGAACCAAGTAGCAGTCCTACTTCCTCGGATTCGGGCCACGATCGGGAAAAAAGATAAAAAATAATGTTAAAAAGTGATAATATAAATCATTATTAAGACTTTAAACATAATTTAGCAAAAGATAAGTGAACGAAAACAACCAAAATCAAAAGAAATTATTTTTTTATTGTTGAATACTAACTCATCAATCATCGCAAATTCAGACAGATAATCCAGCATCTGCAATTATGATGTCCAGAGGTGACGTAGTATCACTTCCGCCATTATCATCATTACTTACTCCTCCGCTTCCACCGTCACCACTACCACCACTCGGTTCTCTAAATTCTATACCAAACAATGCAATAATATTACAAGATTTACCAACGTCAGTAAATCAATATCAATTATCGACTTTAACAGCTACAAACCCTATCATCCAAACCCCCGGGACTCCACCACCAAGGCCTAATGCCAATAATATGCAGGTTACTCCCCAAAAGTCGGCACTTTTTAAGGAATCCGTTATCTATCTACAAAATCATATAAAGATAAATGTAAATGATCAAGGAATGATCATAAAAGACAATCATACTACGGAAGAGATCTCTAGTATAATTCGTAATTGGCTAATAATGGCATTAACAGTAAGTTATCGTTAATTTCTTTTTAGATAGTAATATGTATATATTAAAATTTCTTTACTCTAGTCACCAAAAGAGGAGTTTGTAAAAGCTATCATGACTCCTTTAAGCTCAGAAGCAAGTCCAAAAGATCATGATTTTCGTCAAATTTGCGAGTTTATACTTTATGATTTGTATGTGTGTTGTTTTATTCATGAATCCATATTTTTTTGACATCATAATATTTTTACTGATATGTTTGTTATTTTATAATAATTCGATTAGTTATTTCATGACAAAGAAAGGTCCTTTAAAAAGAGATATTGGTGAGCGTACGTATATTGTCGAAAGGGTCGTCCCCCTGTTCAAAGCAATTCAATCAGTATATAATGAATACAAATTTCATTGGATCGAAGTTGAATTGGATTGTATGAGGGAAGTGAAGAAG